TGTCTCCTACTATACATAGAAGAAATTAATGGCCAACTACATAAACAGTACGAAAGAATAGCCGGCATGGGGCGGCCACGCCTGTAGTCCAGTACTTGGAGGCTGAGGCAGGAGGACGCTTGAGGCCAGGAGTCTGAGTTCGCGTGACCAGAGGCTGACCGCCACCGGCGACTCACTCAGCACTCGGGCAACAAAGCAGACCCGTCAAATACAAAAAAAAAAAAAAAAAGAAGGAGACCAAGACCAGTGCCCATCGGTGAATAAACAGATTAACAAAACCCACACGCGGCACATCCAAACAATGGGATGTCACTCCAGCCACCACAAAAAGGAGCAGCGCTGCTCTGGAGGGAGGGAGGGAGGGAGGGAAGGAAGGAAGGAAGGAAGGAAGGAAGGAAGGAAGGAAGGAAGGAAGGAAGGAAGGAAGGAAGGACAGTGATGGCAAACCCAACAATGACAATGGTCTATATTTCTCAGGTGCTGGCTACGTAAGTAATAGACGATCACTACTCGTGTTATCTCTGACACGCGCATGTGCCCGCACCGTGCCCGGCCCTGTCGTGGGAACTTCTCGTATATCAGCACATTCGGCCTGCACGAGACCCCTGTGAGGCGTTGCTACTATTCTCCCCGTTTTCCTTTGCTCAGGAAGGTCAAATGGCTCGTCTGGAGTTACAGGCGAGTACGGGGTGTCCTGGTTTGGGCTCTCCCACAAGCAGGTCCTGGAAGGAGGGTTCTAGGGTAAGTAGTTTCTTTGAGAAGTAATCGGAAAAAAAAAAAAAAACCACGGCAGGGTCGCGGGGAAGTGAGACAGGAAGGAAGGCAGCCCATAAAGGGTGGGTTGTCAAGAATGTCAAGAAGGACGATACCACCACGGGCAAGCGGGGCTCAGTCCCTCACCAGCAACGGGGGAGCCCTTCCCTAACAGGGCCCACCTGGGATTCCAGGCGGGTGGGCTATCCAGAGGAAGGGTCATTTGAGTAAGGCTTTGAAGGATGAATAGGAGTTCGCAGGCATGGCACTCCAGACCATGCGAATAGCATGGACAAAAGATGCAACGATGGATAAGAGTCCCAGGAACTTTGGGGGTATGCCCGCCCACCTGGAAGTCAGAGTCAACCGCGCTTGGATAGGAAGTTGTTCGTCTCGGGTTTGGGGGTTTCGGAGGACAGCGTAGAGCACTGTACCTGGGAGCCATCCCACCTGAGGGCTTCTCCACTGACACCCATTAATAATTGAGGGGAGCTCCCGAGCGGGGAGCTCGGAATGATCACAGGCCGGGCGCAGCGGCTCACGCCTGTCATCCCAGCACTCTGGGAGGCCAAGGCGGGAGGATCGCTCGAGGTCAGGAGTTCGAGACCAGCCTGAGCAAGAGCGAGACCCCGTCTCTACTAAAAATAGAAAGAAATTAATTGACCAACTAAAAATATATACAGAAAAAATGAGCCGGGCGTGGTGGCGCATGCCTGTAGTCCCAGCTACTCGGGAGGCTGAGGCAGGAGGATCGCTTGAGCCCAGGAGTCTGAGGTTGCTGTGAGCGAGGCTGACGCCACGGCACTCACTCTAGCCTGGGCAACAGAGTGAGACTCTGTCTCAAAAAAAAAATAAAGAATGATCACAGTGTTATCACAGGAGCGCCCGTCCTCCCCCGCCCCTGCTCCGCGGTTCCAAACTTCACAGGCGAGGGCGCTTGTCGCCACAGTGACGGCCCCGAAACTGGAGAGAACGCCTCTTTCAAGTCAGCTCTGCCTTCCCTCCCGCTGTGTGGCGTCGGGCGCACCGCTTGCCCTCTCTGAGCCCCGGGAAATAAACCGGCTCCCGGCTGGCCCCAGCGAGGCTCTCCCGAGGCCGGCCGCACTCACCATGCCCAGGTGGCCCAGCAGCCAGCTGCGCCGCGGCGGCTCGGGGAAGCAGCGCAGCCGGCGGCAGGTGGCGTGGAAGCGCCAGCAGAGGCGCGCGAGCCGCAGCAGCAGGCGGAAGGCGAGGAAGAGCAGCAGCAGCAGCAGCGCGGACACGGCGTGCCGGCGGAAGGCCGTCCTCTCCAGCCCCAGCAGGCGCAGCAGGTGGTCCGCGGCCGGCAGCATCCTGGGGCGCACGCGGGGGTGGGGTCAGGGGCGCCGGGGGACCCCGCCCATGCGCCCCCGGCCTCCACGCTGGCAGGGCGTCCTCCCGGCCTCACTCCCGCGGGGCTGCCCGCCCATGCGCCCCCGGCCTCCACGCTGGCAAGGCCCCCTCCCGGCCTCTCTGCCCCGGGGCTGCCCGCCCATGCTCCCCAGGCCTCCATGGCCTCCACGCTGGAAAGGCCCCTCCTGGCCTCCCTCCCGTCGGGCTGCCCGCCCATGCGCCCCCGGCCTCCACGCTGGCAGGGTCCCTCCCGTGGGGCTGCCCGCCCATGCGCCCCCGGCCTCCTCACTCCCAGGGCCCCTCCCGGCCTCCATGCTGTCGGGCTTCCAGCCCATGTGCCCCTGGCCTCCACGCTGGCAGGACCCCCTCCCGGCCTCTCTGCCGCGGGGACCCTGCCCATGCGCCCACCCCGCCTCCACGCTCGCAGGGCCCCCTCCCGGCCTCCCTGCCGCGGGGCTGCCTGCACATGGCTGCGCAGAGTCCTGGAAAACTGAGGACCCCCCCCCATAAAGGAGCAGGTCTCGACCAACCATCGTGCTCGGGTGACAAGCGCCCAGCCCCCTCCCCTCGGGCTGGGCGGAGTGAGGTGCGGGTCCCACGCTCCCGCCGGCCCTCCCCTCCCCGGGTGCGCTGCGGGGCCAAACTGCAGCTGCCCACAGTGGAACCGGTCTCTATTGGCTGTTTGTCTCCCTTCCCTCTGCTTCTTGCTTCATTCTTTTTGTTTTTTGTGGGTTGTTTTTTTTTTTTTTGGTGGGAGGAGGACAGTCTTACTCTGTCGCCCGGGCTTGAGTGCTGTGACGTCAGCCTCGCTCACAGCAACCTCAGACTCCCGGGCTCAAGCGATCCTCCTGCCTCAGCCTCCCGAGTAGCTGGGACTACAGGTGTGCGCCACCACGCCCGGCTCATTTTTGTATCTGTTTTTTTTTTTTTTTTTTTGGTAGAGACGGGGTCTCGCTATGTTGCCCAGGCTGGTCTCGAACTCCTGGCCTCAAGCGATCCTCCCACCTCAGCCTCCCAAAGTGCCGGGATTACAGGCACGAACCATTGCACCCAGCCTAAGCACGATGTTTTCGGGGGGTTCACCCATGTTGTATCGTGTATCGATGCTTCATTCCTCCTACTGCTGGGTAATATTTCATTGCACGCATTGGTCACCTTCTGTTTACCCATTCTTCTGCCCATTTGGGCTGTCTCCATCTTTTGGTTGTCAAGAAAGACGCTAATCTGAACACGCGTGCACCGTTAGTCGTCTGGGTACCTGTTTTCAATTCTCTGGGGTTCACTGTCGTCTTCCTTGCTGGTGTTTCCTGCGGCCACCTCCCGGATGAACGACTTGAGTTCAGATCCTCGCCTTAGGGTCAGGGCCTGAGGGAGTCAAAACAAAGGGGGTGAGTGACAATAACATGAACGCACCGGCGAACAGTTGCCCCGTGTTCAGAGCGTGTGCCGCACGCCACGCTCAGCGCCGTGCAAGCCCCGTGTCGAGGAATTTCACGCAAGCCCTCGGCGGGTAGGTGCTATCGCTGCGCCCATTTTCCAGATGGGGAAGCTGAGTCTCAGCTCAGTTTCTTCAATGCAAGGGAGATAGGAGGTGACAGAAGCTCCCTGAGCCCCCGCCAAGGGCCCACCTCAGTCACCCTGGCTTTGAGGGAGGGACCCGGAATCTCAGATAACCCCAAGAAGACTCCCGAGTTGGGTCCGGCTCTCTTCCTTCCCCGACAGCGGGGCGCCCCGCTAAGCATTCGGGCCCACCGGCCCTCCTACCAGGCAAACCCCATCACGCATGCGGAAGAAGTGAAATTTCTACTGGTTCCCACATCCCGGGAAAACAGCCCGAGGTGGGTGGTGGCCGAATGTAGAGACTCGGGTTAGGCATGACTTAAAATACAGACGGCACGGCGACCACTCCTTTGGGTGGCTACCCTCAAAAGCCAAAAGCAAGCCGGGCGCGGTGGCTCACGCCTGTAATCCCAGCACTCTGGGAGGCCGAGGCGGGCGGATTGCTCGAGATCAGGAGTTCGAGACCAGCCTGAGCAAGAGCGAGACCCCGTCTCTGCTAAAAATAGAAAGATATTAATTGGCCAACTAAAAATATATAGAGAAAAAATTAGCCGGGCGTGGTGGCGCGTGCCTGTAGTCCCAGCTACTCGGGAGGCTGAGGCAGGAGGATCGCTTGAGCCCAGGAGTTGAGTCTGAGGCGTCTGCCTGAGCTGGCTGAACGCCACGGGCACTCGCTCTAGCCTGGGCGACGGAGGAGAACTCTGTCTCATAAATAAATAAATAAATAAATAATAAATAAATAAATAATAAATAATAAAAGTTAAACGTAGAATTACCAGGATCAGCAATTCCACTTCCGGGTGTACCCCCAAAAGAGGTGCATCTGTTCCCGGTTTACAGCAGCCAAAAAGTGGAGGCGGCCGGGCGCCCGGGCTTGCTGATAGTCAAACGCGGCTTGCACACGTGGGGTTTATTCAGCCTCGAACGGCAACACAACCCGACACCACTGTCAACAGGCGTGGACCTTGAGGCCGTCTCAGGCCAAGTGAAATGAGCCCATCACAGAACAGGACAACACCGTCCCATGCCGCTGAGATGAGGTCCCGGAGTAAGCCCTGTCCCCATGAACAGAAAGCAGAAGGGGCTCGCGGGGGCTGCCGGGGTGGGGACAGGGGACGGGACGGGGCTGGGGGGTGAGTTAGTGTTTCCTGCGGACGGAGTTTCGGCTGGAGAAGAAGATCGTGCTTCTGCTTCCCAGTGTCCGCCGGACCCCCGAGTGTGACTTTCCCTGGCGACCGTCTTTCCGGTGCAACTACGCCAGGGACTGGAGACGGGGAGGAGATCCTGGGTCATCCTGGGAGCTTAAACGTATCGCAGGTGTCCTTGCCAGAAGAAGCAGAGGGGAGGCGGGACGTGCAGGAGAAAGGAGAGGCCGGCTGATCAAGTGACGCGGCCACGAAACGGGTCCCCACCCCGCCCCGAGCCCGCAGAGAGGCGAGGGCCCTGCCCGCACTTGGATTCAGACTCACGGCTCCAACCGGGGGGAATAAATCGTGTCGTTCCAAGCGAG